TGAATGGTGTTGCATCCAAGCCATGTTGCATTTAAGTTTTGAATTCTGTGGAAGGAATACGCAAATTGTTGTTATGAACCTACATAGTATAAAATTTTCCTTGTAATTATCAGGACATCAATTTGGGGCAAGAAGTTAAAATATGGCTCGGGCTAATCTAATCCTCACAAAGATAAAAGTACCACTTCTTTCAGGGATGCAAGAGCATTTGTATTTTGTGACTTATACTAGATTTATTATAGTAGTTAAAATGCTATTTCTTCTGGTTCACAACTGGATATGTCTGACAATTTTGCAAGTTTTGGCTTCTGAATAAGAGTAAGTAATGATTATAAGTGCGAAAGTCCCAACGCTTCTGGTTTAGTTACTGTATAGATTACAAAATAAGATGAATCTTACAATAAATTGAAGTTGAAGCATCTTTACTGAGAAAAGTTGCTGTCTTATCTGCAAATACCTCTTTCAACGCTCGAGTCTCATTCTTTCCATCTCGTAGGATAGAGTCTCTGGTCCTTAATCTTCAATAGACTTTACTTAAAACCCAACTGTGCAGCTACAAACAAGCAAATTAGAAGTTTAATTTTCATTAAGAAATGAAGCTGTTAAACGCATAAGCGGTATGCTTTGACACAATCTCTATAGAGAAGTGTTGTTTAATGTTCAAGGTTTAATATTAACACCCTGAAACAATTTAGTTTCAATGGCTTAAAGATGACCAATTCAGCTGAAACAAGTGAGTTGGTGTGGAAAGTTTTACCTTACTATGTTTATGATTGCATGCAATTGATAGAAACATCGGGTTTTCTTGGCTCCTACTAGCCCACACATGCGGAATATCCCAGTGAGTGCTTCCGGTAGCCATTCCTCCCTGGACGATCTAGCAAGCCAAATACATAGCAGGCTCCTAGGCGTCAGAACACAACGTCGTTTTGCCCTTTGCACAAAAGGAATCAGAATTGATGCATCAGCAACCTGATGAAATCTCTGAATGGCATACCTCTAAGATGGATGCTGGAAAGTTAAAATTTAGATTTGATTGTTTAGTAATAAGATTTCAACTCAAACCCATTCACTTATCTTTGATTCAACTGTTTCATGCATGTCCAAAATTTATGCTTCTTTTTAAGGTGGAACTCGATTTCGATAACAACATGCATTCTCCTACTTCTTTCTTTTTAGCATGCTTCATTTTCACACCAACAAAACATTATTGTATTTTAACATCAAATACACAAATACATCGTATAAATAGAAATATATAAAGATATTACATACCAACAAATTGCAAGCATAAAAAAAGTTTGTCGACGAGCTTATTTCAAACCAAGTATGCCCAAAATTTATTAAATAAGGTCTTGTTTGCAAATATAACCCTAAATCAAATCAAATTGAACATTCAATTAAAACTAATTTCTTTAACAGAATTCCAAAAGTAAGTTCAAACTGATTTGTTAGGTTTAGGATAAAAGATAGTAATGAAAATAAGATAATTTATTTCGCATCGATATCCATGTGATTTACTAATAACAAAAGTTCGGAGCAACGTAGAAAGCGAGAACAGTTATCGAAACCTCTCAAAACGACATCGTGTCTTGTTTTTTGGGACCGATAATTTCCCCCGGACAAAAGGTATCAGTTGTCTCCGAACAAACATGGGAACTCTATCATATCTCCCTCTCTCACTCTCTGCTGCACCCAAACCACCACCCCATCACTTTGCTTCCAAAACCCATTTTTATAACCCTATTTCCTTTCCTACTTTCTCTTCGAAGCTTCGATTCAAAACGGTGGCTTTTGGAAGGAATCCAGCCGACTCCAAACAGAACGAGCATCTATTCTTGGACGAAAACGGTGTCGTTGAGGACATGGATGGTTATCTTAACTACCTATCCCTCGAGTACGATTCCGTGTGGGACACAAAGCCTTCCTGGTCAGTTTTCATATTAGTTTCTTCCATTGTTAATATTTTCCTTTTCAAGGTTGTTTGTCCTGGTCTGGTGTTTTCTCTGCATTTTGACTATTTTATTGAATGCTTTAGGTGAAATTTACTGATTCTAACGGCTATATTGGAATGCCATGGGGTTACCGAATCATTGTAGCTCTCAATTGGTTCTACATTTGCAAAACTTGAGCTGGAATTTTCCTGTCATTAGTTTATATCTTAACGTTACTTATGCATCTGCACTTGTTTTGGTTCGTGGCTTGATTTTTCCCTTCCATTTGTTTGCTAGGTGCCAACCATGGACAATTACACTTACTGGAATGTTGGTGGTTGCCTCTAGCTGGCTAATTTTGCACTCAGTTGTGGTCACTGCTCTTGCAACTGTGGGGATATGCACATGGTGGTATATCTTTCTGTATTCTTATCCTAAGGTACACATTTATTTTGAAGAATAGTTTTTTTTATTATTATTATTATTATATATGTCGTGAAAATAGCAAATTTTGAACTACTTTCTTCACTAAAATCTCATCTCTAGGAACAATATCTCGAATGAAGTTACACTTGACTTAGATGTTTTCTCTTGTGAAATATCTGATTTTTAGTCAAATGTATTGTGTTTTGACTATTGCAAAACACAACTGTATGTGTTTTTCAAACCAAGCCTTGAAGCCGTAAAGCCTCTACTGCCTCAGTCAGAGTTGTATATTCAGCTTTAGTTGTAGACAAAACAACTGTCATTGGAGGCTTCCAATAAGGGTTCCATGGAATTGGTCCTGCATGACTTAAAATAAACTCAAGATCATGGGGAATAGGCGTCGTCCATGGTCCTAAAAACCTGCTTTGATAAGCTCGTTGGTCCACATGTAATTGATTAACATAATCAGTAGATATTGTTCCCGTAGGGCATCATCTTCTAATGGTGGTCCAGTTTCAGGAGGAATGGTCTGATTGATCTCACAAAGCCTTCTCTGGAGTTCTTGATATTCTTGCAGATGTTCAAAATTTAATTATGTAGAGAGTATCCTTGAGAACCATAGATTTTTCTTCAGGGAAAATATTCTTCTCTGCTTGTGGCGTAGCTGCAAGGTTGATAGAAATGAAAATTAATGTGTGGGAAGGGTCTGCAATTAGTATACATTTCAAAAGTCTCTATCCAATAAATCCATGGTGGAATAGGTTTAGACCACTAGAGAAAATGTTTGAAATTCTTATGGAGGGTTTTTGTTGATTAGGCGTGCATGTTGGATGGATGGTGGCGCCATTCATCCTTTTGAGGATCACTTTGAAATTACTCAAGGTGAATTCTATAGCAATGTAGCAAAGATGGTAGAGATATTAAAAGAAACAATAGAAGATAAGCCATGGGTGTGTGAAAGGGTATCATGGGTGGATTGCCATTGGTCGGATGAATCAAGGTTTTTGTTGCAATAAGTTCTTGGATCTTTAGAGGAAGTATGTCAATGGGAATGTTAAGATCACCGGGGAGACTATTGCGTATGAATCAAGGTTTTTGTTGCAATAAATAGTTTTGGTTTCCATTCACATGGAGATGACTCTCATCTTAATCTCTCTCTTAGTCATGATCTAATATATTGGAATCCATGTAACAATTCAAACATGTGATGACCAACTTTATAATCAAGTGTGCGGTATCAACATGTGTGCTTTATCAACATGCTCTACTACTAGTGTGCATTAAAATAAGTGCATATTTATCTCTACCAAACACGCACTATTTACCTTTTAGATTAGTTGAGTTTGCTTTGTGAAGGCAATCTCCTCAAAAAACTAGCCTGTCTGTTGTTTGGCCTCGACAGCATTGTTACTTGTGTGACCGCACTATTAAATGTAATTATTTTATGCTTTTACTTCTGTTACCACTCCTCTGTTTAAGGACTCCTTGATGAAGTAGTCAGACACAGACCTCATCCTTGTAAACTATTTATGAAATAAATCGAGGATGAATTTTTAAAAGTTCTCTTTAGCTATTTTTTACCTATAGTCTTAAATTGTACTATCATGTTTGTTCTTCCTCTTATCAAGTAATTAATGACATGAGTCGTTATACTCTGCCATTGTTACAAATTGTGGATCCCTATGCATTAGAAGACTCACGTTGACAGCCGAAAGTGTGTCTTGAGACTTTGAGTCTTGAGCACCAGCTAAATTTCCTTGGTTTATTTCCTTTTAGCAATCTCCTGATATGTTATCCCCTGTTTCGGCAACTCAATCCGGTAGTGTCAATGTTTATTATTTTGTTACAGAGAAACGAGACGAATTTGATTTTATTTTCTGTGTCAGGCTTATGTGGAGATGATCGCAGAGCGACGAGAGAGGGTGACGAATGGTAGAGAAGACACATTTGGTATGAGGAAGAATCAATGATTTTCAGATTCGCTGGTTGTACATAATTTGTGTAGTTATGACTTACAAAACGAAGATGTTTCACATCAGTAACTACTGAGCAGATTTCACTCTTTAATCTTTTTCTTAAGCAAGTAAGCAAAGTAATGCTTTCTTTTCCCCCCTGTGGGTATTCGTACCAGATTTATTTGCCTACAAACAAATATAGAGCATTTCCGAGCAAAGAGAATTGCCAGCAATGGTTTTGAGATCAGTGACAAGCCTGCCGTTGCACCCGGGGGCATAAAGGTATCAAAAACAGAATTCAGCTCTCCAGACGTATCTTGGGTGCGTTGCATCCCTTCCATTTTGAGAGTCCAATTTACTTTTTTTTTTTTCAGTCTATGAACAACACCAGGAAAATTTAGGCAATATGACCAAAAACAAAAAAATTTCCTAGAACAGGTTTGACAAAGTCCCGTCACACCTTCTAACATCCCTAGGGAATGATAGCCTGCTTAATGTGCAGGAAGGTTGACTACAGCATGGGATTACTGATATTAAGGCTTTCATAAGAACAAACTACAAGTCCTGTAAGCAATCCAGGCTCCAGAAAACTGACTACAGGTTGTTAAGATGAGAAGTGGTACATCAAGAACTGAGAAGAGAATCATGAGAGAAATGACAGCAATTAAACAGTTGATATTTTCAATGTTCATGCAATATACTTTGCCTATGCACATATAACCTCAATATCAGTCAAAGACCAATCTGTGTATCCATATGAAATGTTAACGCTCTTCAAGTGAGATGTGAGTGTCGTTTCACTACAACCGGTATTATATGAAGCTATAACTTAAAGGGAGGACACAAACAGGTCATTTTAACAAAGTCATGCATCTTGCATCCAAATCCTAATTGTTCTGTCCCCTTCAAGGCCAGCGGAGGCAATCTTGTTCTCGCTAGGATGGCAGGTGACAGAAATTACAGTATCAGAATGGCCTTCAAGTTTCTGCATCATGGCTTTCGATTGGAGATCCCATAAGTAAACACATTTATCCTCGGATCCACTAACAATGTATTTCCCACTTGTAACAGAGAATGTCGATGTTATACAGTAAACTCTGTTCGTATGGCCTTGATATATTTTCAAAAATTTACCAGTTGAGTAATTCCACAGCTTCTGCACTCGGAATCAAAACAAGAAAAACACCAAAATAAAATACCTATGCATGAATTTTTATTTCAAAGCTTAAAGGATGTGAACTTACAAGAGTGCTGTCGAGAGTGGCAACCAGAATGAATTTCCCATTTGGGGAGAATTTGGTAAACGAGACCGCGGGATCTTTATCATCGATTAGAGTTTTCAAGCAAGTTCCTTCTTTGGCATCCCAAATCTTGCACGACCCCTCGTGGCTACCCGATACGATCAGCGAACCGTCACGGTTAAAGTGCACCGATGTCACCGGCATGGAGTGGGCCCTTATCACCCTCAAGCACTTGCCTGTTTTCACTTCCCAAATGCGAATAGTCTCATCGAAGGAACCTGAAACGATGAGATTCGACTGTGGATTGAAGTTGACGCAGAAGACGAAGTCGGAATGGCCCTTGAGGATCTTGAGGCAATCGAAGGGGGCGCGTGCATCCCAGATGCGGAGGGAGCGGTCGTCGGATGCCGAGCAGATGTAATGGGAGTCGGATGACCAGGCCAGGTCCGAAACACCGTCCGAGTGGCCAACGAGGCGGTGGATAAGGGAGAGGGACGACGCAGACCAGATAATCAGGGTTTTGTCGAGGGAAGCGGAGGCTAAGAGGGTTCCGTCGTTTGAAAATTTGACGCACGATACTGCCCGTTGGTGTGCTGTTAGAGTTTTTATGTGACGGTACGGCTTGTAGGCGGGCGTTTGTTGCTGGTTAGCGCCACCGCTTGCCATCACTTAGAAAGGGCAGAGTGAAGGTAGAAACTTGAGAAGCAAGATTTCATCCTCTTACGTTAAAACCAGGTGAGTTTGATGTGGGACCGAGTTCGAGTAGGTTCGTCGCATTTGGTCTTATGACTTGAATCAATTCACTCGTAAGTTAGTTCTTTTTTTTTTTTTAATATATAGATAAAAATCAGGTAACACATAAACATAATTGTGAATTGCTGAATTACCGTCAAAAGTTTCAAAAACTTCATTTCAATTAATAAACTTAGCTTAAACCCAGATTCTGATAATAACAAAAATAGTCTTCAAAAAAATTTATAAAGATTTAACGTAAATGAATATACAAAATTTATCAAATGCGGAGTCGTTAATTATTAAATATTTCTTAATTTGTAAATTTGAGATTTTTATTTCATCTTAATAAAGTAAATTTTAAATTTATAAATAAAAGAATACTAAAAAATTATTTTAACGACTAAAGTTTAACAGCTCAATGCTTTAAGATTATCTGAAAAATGACAAAAAAATATAAACTTTGTAATATAATAATTTAAGATATAAAATTTAAAAAGTTCAAAATTTACATTAAAAAAGTTACAAATGTATTAAAATTATATTATACATAACACTAAATCTGAAATTTAACTAAATATTTCTAATAAAATGCTTGTAAATCAGTACCACAAGCTTTTAATTTGCATTTTCTCGGTTGGTGCGATTGCAACATTACACTACCGAGAAAACTCATAAACCAGAGATGTGTAGATAAAAGTGAACAGAAACAATTATAGCCTGAGCACAATATAAAACGGTAGGCGACAGTGAGAATTTATCCAATCACTGTCGCCTGGCACATAAGGCATAAGCTACAATTGCTATTGACGATTTGCAAAACAAAGATATCAGCAAACGCCATTATACAAATTACAATAGCACGAGCTAGAAGCATCAGCTGCCACTTTCATGATCTACACTTATAGTTGCTAAAAAGGGGATAAACCAGGGGACAAAAAGGTTCCCCAGAGGCTTTTATGATAACAATCTCAGTGAAGCAGAAGAAAGGCCCCCGTCATAGTAAACTGAACGCGGGATATTGCAGCAGCATCAGATTATCATAAATGAGAATAATAACGAAATTTACTGCTGTTCAAAACTCAATTATCGGCCTCTCTTCAATTCAGCTTGCAGTCCGGAAAAACTTCCTTTCTGACATCTGTTAGAAATAAAATTACATAGTTAAAAAATATGTAAATCAGTTAGAAATTAAATTACGCAGTTAGAAAACATATTCTTCCTATAACAAAGCATTCTATTTGCAGAGCACATCAGTATTTCCTGTATCAATGTCAATATGTTCATTATACCTAGAAATTCTCCCCTATATCAACAGACTAAATTTGAAGGCAATAATATCATCTAGAAACAACATTTCCAGACACCAGTTAAATAAACATACTCAAACACCATGCTTGAAAAAAAAACAGAATAATACTACGTCTCAAACATGGTAACTTTGGAATATAACCTATTCCTCATTGTCAACATGCCCAGATATGAATTCTTGTGTCTACAAACACGGAAAGCACCAAGCACCCCTCTATATGCCAGGAAAGAAGAAAAATGAAGAAAGTACTCATTTTATGCTATGAGATGAATAAATAGTTAGCAGTAGCACTACCAAACAAACTACTCATAAACTATCTGGTTCCTTATTTTCCAAATCAGAAAGAGATCACCATACCACTTCATTTCGTGGCTGCAAGTTTCAATACTCGCTTAGCCCAGCAGTTCTTCTAGACAACCAGAAAATCCACCTCATCTGAGCTTTCCTCGTAAATTACAAAACCTGAATCTTGATATTCCTCATTACCGCTACCCTGATCACTATTATAGCTGCTCTCTGATGAACTCATGAGCAATGAACCATCAGATGTATGAATACTCAACTGAGATGGAAAGCTGACATCACTGTTAATATCACTATCAATCATGTGGTCTATGTCGATGAAGCTGCAAAGTCAAGAAACCCAAGTCAAATGGCAAATATCAGTTCTTATCCTTAAAATAAAAATAAAACGGCACACACAGAACAATGACGTGACCGCTGAATTATTTGGAGGATAGACTGACCTTCCTTCTGATGGAAACTCAGCCAGCACGCAAATATTGGGTCTTACTTCAAACACCTGCTTTAGAGGAATAATGCTGCAAAATATGCAACAAGGTTAGATATTAAAACATAAAACAATATCAACTGTTTAACAGAATCTCAAGAATGATATTATTACCTTGAGTTGTAAGATCTCTGGTACCAGTCACCTTCTGAAGCTAAACCTTCCCTATTAGATATGTCCTATGGGATAGGATGTAATCAGAATGAAAAGAGGATTGAGCATAAAAAAGGATTATGAAAATGGTATTCACATATCAACTTCACTCACAAGATGCCGAAGGAACATGAAGTCTCCTGCAAGAACTGCTGTCAAAAACCGAGCAACTTCCATCTGCAGATGAGAAGTCCGAATTGAGAGAGAGAGAGAGAGAGAGAGAGGCAGAATGAGAAGGTCTGCTCTAGGAGGAGGCGGTGGGAGGTTGGATGAAAATCTCACCTCTTTGAGATGCATGCAGTCCCTTAAAACTAAAGCCTCTAGTAGATTCCCACCACTGCCACTTCCCAAGTTCCTAATCAGAGGAAAAAAAAAAAAACTTATGAGCATTGTTCGAAAAGGAACGCTGAAAAACAAGTAAACAAAGGATTCTCATACGTAGGTTTGACAAGTCATGCACGGACCTCAAAAAAGTTCCAGTGATTGAATATGATGTTGAAAAATCAGCATATTTAAGTTTCCGGAATCCCTGCAAGTGATTAGAAGGACTAAACTTCAATTCACATTCAGATCAAATCTATGACACTACAGACCAACGCTCACTCTCTGAGCAGCATAATCAAATAGAATCACCATTCTTCCAGGCACATAATACTGGCACTTGAGATATTTATGCAAAACCATCCTTCCTAATACTTTCAAACTATTGATATTATATGTCAAACCAAAAAACCTTACAAGTAGCCAATGCCTTTTTAAGGAAAAGTTGAATTTGTCCATCAAAAGTAGAAAATAAAGTTGGCACATCAATTGACTGTAGGTAAAAAATTCAAGACGTTAACCATTTATAAAAGGGGAAAAAAATTCAAACAGCAAGGGCAATGAAACCTGGTTAACCAATTACAGATTATTAAGTGAGAATTCGGAATGTTTGACAAGTTTATTTCCATTAAGCATGCCCTTGAAGAGCAAACCAAAAGGGCAATCATTTTAAACAACATGAAATTGGTGCATACCTTAACAAGTATGCGAACTTTATAATCATGCAGTTTAAAACCTCTCAGCGATAAAGAAGAAAGATTAGGACAATTGTTCACTAAATCAACACATGTTGGCGATTTCAAGCTGTCATCCCTGCCTGCATTAACCATAACACCTTGAGCAGATATTTTAGACTAACTGAAAAAAGACACACTCATGAACAGACTCTGCACCTGTTTTGGAGGACTCAAAGAATAAACGCTCTATCAAGTGACAATTTGAGCTTACTGACATCAAAGTTTGCCTCAGCTCAACATGACTGCATCAGAAGAAGGGAGATCAAACAATTGTGAAAACAGAGAAAAAGCATAAGCTACTCTACCAAAACATTACCATCTAAATGAGTATCATCATCAAAAATGTAAATCAAGCTGGGTTAAGAACTAACAAAAATTCAATAATTCAGGTGCCAACAAAGTGCTTGCTTTAGTTAATTAAAAAATGGTCCATTTAGTATTCACTTCAATCAGCTCTTTATGAATATCTGTCTACCACTTTGTGTTCATTTAGAAACAACTTTTAAGTTTTAAGGTTGTCTGCTTGCAATATCATCCAGCAACCATAGCTTACTGCATGCATGCCCAATCTGACCAAAAAAAAAATGCAAGGAGTGGCACGGGAAGGGGGAGAGGGAGAGAGACAGAGAGAGAGAGAATGCTGAAAACCAGCTTAAAGAAAGAAACTTACAGGCCAACAATTTCCAAATCTAGTAAAGAAGGGCAAGCTGCTAATGCCACACAAAGTGATGCATTGTCCATTCTTTCAATGTTGTAAAGATGCAACCTCCTCAGAAGAGTCCTTACAAAATGAAAAAGCAAATGATAAGAAAAAAAAAAAACCAATTTCACATATCAGATTCTAAATTACAACTTAATGCATTCAACCATACCCAGCAGCACCATTATCCCCAGTTAACGGGTATAAGCAGGACCTCGTCAGAATAGATGATTCCTTCCCTTGCCTGGTCTTTTTATCATTCCATGAAATGCTAGATACATCTACAGAATTCCTGATGGTGTAAACCAATGGTTGACAGGATCCAGGAGACGCGGTTGGTCCCGGTACTATACCGAGCTTAAGAGATCTAAGTAACCATCAAAAGACAATAATTAACAAGAAACTACAATAAAATAAACAAAAATATGCAAACATTAATCAGCCAGCCATGATACTAAGTCACACTAATAATTTCTCTAACAGCTATAAAGGAACTTGCAGAAACAACCATTGAGTTACTAATTAATGAATTTCGTAATTAGATATTTTCTGAGTGTCAGGAGAGATTGTTATTAATTATTTCACTACCCAAAAGGCAATTCAAGCATGAAACCGTAGCTAAGATCAAGCATTTATTACTAAAATTAAATGCTGAATTCTAATAGCTAAAAAAGAAAATCTTACTGAGCAAAAATAGCTAAAAAGGAAAGAAAGAAAATCTTACTGCAGTGATTTTCCAGCTCGTTGGATCATGGTGGAGACAACGGCATTATTGACCTTGGGAACAACAGTGGTGAGGTCAATATTGGCATAGCACAAAGGATCCATTGCACACTTGTTAAACATCGAACAAGTTGCCGCGGCGTAGCAAAGACTCTGCGAATCCAGCATCGAAAACACCTGCAATTGAAAAACCACATCATCACCAAAAAACTAAAAAAGAAAGAAGAAAATCACGGCCTTCGATCAAAATGATGAAGAATTGAAGTGTACC